AAAATCAGACGTGCTACATGGTCTGTTGATCGTCAGAGGATTCTGTGTTTCATAAAAAAACTATATTCCAATTTATTTATATACAACTAATTAATAGGAAAATAAGAACAATTATATTTACAATGTAAAAGTTATACAAATATTTTAATTTCAAAAACAGTGGTACCGAAATTCTCCAATTTATTAATTCTCTGGTGAGGAGTATTCTATAGAAGAAAGCAGAATTGCAGTAATTTACCAATGCTATCCAATTATTTCCATTTAATAAATCAATTACTTGATCCCGAGATAAATTTCTAGACTTTGACCATTTAGTTCAAAAATTCAGAGAGTATCGGACAAGCAGCCAGGAAGTGATAGAGATCTTCTGTTTCGTTTTTATTACACATGCTACAATTATTATTTGTTTGCTGGAAGTGTTTATAATTTTAGTTCAAAGCATCAGCTCTATTATATTTTCCGAAGTTTAAAAATTAAATTAGAATTTAAGAAACAATTAAAGATGGCAGGAGATGCGGCGAATTTTGCTATATCTCGAATTTGGTCTCCACGTATCCTTTGGAGAGCTCAAATTGGACACAGAGTCTGTTTCAGATACTCGACAAGGGGGGTCAGGTTCAATTTTATTTTATATAAAACTTACCCGATTATCCAGATTATTTTATTCTCCATTTTAAACTTACCAACACAACATTGATTAGTCCTAATACACCACATTTAATTATTCATTGAGTATTTCCTATTGAATATAAGTAACTCATACCTAGGAACTTCTCTGCGTATTCCGTAACCTAGATACTTCCTGCTAGGAACCACATGGCCCTTCCTTCGCCTGTGTAACTCAGAGCACGTGGTAGTTGGCAGGACAACTTCACTCCTTTCAGTATTCAACTCATCGATTTACTTTTGCTGTCTTTATATTCTGTAGAGCACCTTCGCATATTCATTATCGTTAATAGCTTCAATCCATCCATTCAATTGATTGAATATAGCCTTCTGTTCATCATTCTTCCGATATAATATCCATCAATTCCTTTGTCCTTGAATTATATGAACATTGAACTTAGTGGTTAGGACATATAATTTAGGATTATTTCTAACAAAGATGAATCGTGTTTTTTTTTTTTTGTTTGAATTAAAATATCCAACCTTTAGCCTTTTTTTCCTCTGTGATAGGTTATTCCTCCCAAGACTTGATAAGACTCCGGACATACGCCTTGAAGCTCCGTTTTTTCTTAAAGGATTTCCAAGCACTGTAATTTCCTCTTTCATTTCGAATTGTCATTGAGTTCGATTCGGAAGTGCGCCCGTTGCATTGCAGGTCTTTCACCCTTCCTTCCTCGAGATACTGTATGATTCAGTTTATTTAAAAAAAAATTGAAAGAGTCTCCATTATATTTGTATTGATGAATGATGAATGATGAAGTTGAATGAGAACATAAATGTCTCTTTTGGTTTTATACTCTCCCCTCTTTCAACAAATAAATTGAGTCCATATTGGAGGTTCTGGTGAAAGGTCCGGAAAAAGGGATTAGTTGGGCCCAATAAGCCCCGGGTACCTGGAGCCAAAGGAATTCCAAAGGGGTTTCCTTGGGGTCAGGGATCGGTTGGGAATCGGGGGGCTGAGGAGATTGTCAAATTTAATTTCCTTTGTGAATTAGAAGGCAACAAAAATGTTCAAGATTGTTTTAAAATAAATATTTATATAAAAGTTCATCTGATTTTGAATTTTATGTGTTGCTTTAATATATTTTTTCTTCTATAACTTGTTCTTTTTAACTCTGAAGAAGAGCTAAATCCAGAAGCTGAAGAAGACTTAAATCCAATTGCTATCGAAAAATATCCTCATGTATGAAAAGAATCCCTCATGCATGTGACTTTTTTAGGTGCACCTCCTAAATAAAATAATAATAGTAAATAAAATACATTTCTGAATTTAACAATGTCACCCTAATTTATGCTTTATATTTTATTGATTTAATTTTTTATTACAGGATTATGACTTTTAAGACGAAAATAATATCTCTTGCTATAAAAAGTAATAACTTTATTTTATGAAAACACAAAATTCAATATTATGGTTATTTTAATAAACGCGAGAATAAAGAAAAAATGCAATCTTTATGAATTATATAGTTTTAATGATTTTTATATAGCGATTTTTACTTATTTATTTTTTAAAATATATTGCTTTTTACACATAACTGAGTGGAGTTTTACCATATTTTTAAAAATCATCTAATATTTATTTTAGTTTGTTTTAATAAACAATAGAAAACAAAATTATAAAACAGCGATTGAGTCCTGATAATAAAATAATACAAATTGTTTACACATTTATTTACTCGATCTCACATTCACTGGTTGTCATTAGCATTATGACAGGTGTGAATAAAACATTAAAGCTAAAAAAAAAAAAAAAAAAATTTATTTACAGAAAATTAGATAATATATAGATTTTGATTTACAATTTAGTTACTTTCTAGGGAGTAAATGGCAAGGTCGGTTTTGGAGATAATTTGAAAAAGAAAATTGTAATCTTCTGGTTATTCAAATAAATCCTATTCGAATGCGATAATATGTTATCTTTATTAATTTTTTTTTAATAATCGCCAGATTTATGTAATTGTTGTATATTTTTTTTAAATATTTTCTACAATTCATTTTCGTAGCGATTTTCTGAGATTAATATCAAGTCATATATTAATGTGATGATACCTATTCAGTTAGTTGGTCTAGCTTGGTAATTGTTCACTCGATTAAGCTGAATTTGTTTATTATATACAGATGAATGTTCATTTATCAATTGGATAGTATGAAATAACGCACATTTATATTGTTTTTAGGTATAAATTTTAAGATAAATATCCTTTGCCACTACTTTTTTTACCAATACAATTATTTTTAATTAATGTTTGAGTTACAGTAGTTTTTAGAGCTTGTTTTTTTTATTTATTTTTTGCCTAGTTAAATAAAACTAAATACAAATACCTGCTGATAATTTATTTTAAATTAATCGAACCAATCATAGTAAGTAGCACATCCTTTTCGTTTCATAAACGACACCTTTATCTGACCTATAAAATGAAAATAACTTCAAAAACTTTATTTTTCTGACAGCACCGTGTCAATAAAATATAATAACACAAAAGTTATTTACCCGTGTCTCAAGCCTTTCATCACCAGCTGGTTCTCTTGTTTAGATTATCGCCATATGTTCCACGTCCGTATCTTCATTTGTTTCTTTCTGGCACTGCCCCAATACTCTACAGGTGTTGTAGGGTGCTTCTCAGTTATAATTCAAAGGGAATTTAAGAAACTTATTAATCGCATAAGTAAGTAATATCGGACCTGTTGACATACCTACTAGCATGAAAAATCTGGTGCGGTGCGAACATCACTCAACTTTCATTTATCATCCTACCTTAAGTAAAATAAGTTTATATGCAGAGAAATCAAAGTAAAAATTATGATATAGCATATTCATTTAAAATAACTAATTACCATGCAAAAAATTGTGAACGAAATGTTAAAGTTATAGGAATTACACGAATGTTAAAAGCTATTCCTTGTTGACTGAACAAATTGAATACTTGAATACTATCAATGTTGGTAATTATCTATGTTTTATACCCTGATGAACCAAAAGCATTTCTAAAAATTCTAGATTATACGTATATTATTAAGGTGAACGAACGTACCGGTTTTGGAGTGGGGGCTCAGCAATGGACAGGTCCTTAAATTTAAATAATAAGCTTTATTGTTTATTCAAAGGTTCCAGGTTTTCCTGGATTGAAAAACAATGCCCTCTATTGACTACTGTATGAACTAAGTTCCCAAAAGAAAATTTTGTAATGCCTATCATTGTTGTTTCTATAGTGTTCTTGAGATCAGTGTGTTTCATACATTCCTACTTTTGCTAAGAGTAAGTTGAACATTTATTTTATCTTTGTAGTTAAGTGAAAATTTTAGAATTTGTCTGAGGTATGTCCATTACAGGTACCGATCCTCTGTCCATTACTAGAACAATTGAATTTCGGGGTGTCCATCACTAGTGCAAAAGGGTGTTTTATTTTATTTTTTTAAATGGTGATTATACCTGCATAACTGAATATTTTATTAAGTTTAAAGTGTTAAACAGCAAAAGGAGACCCTAATGATTTTAAATGTTATTTACGAAGGTATAATCCCCCCCCCCAAAAAAAAAAATTACTTAGCTGTGCCCATCACTGGTGAACTGGTTATTCTAGTTCTAAACATTTCACGTCAATTTTCTTTTCTTTTTTAATTTTTTTTATTAGGAAATATACTAACAGTTAAACTGACAATAAATAAGAATAGAAAATCCATGTTCTGACATTAGCTATTTAAATGAAGGAGGATCGGGAAAAGTTGAGTCCCCTCGGCTGTTTCCGATTTAACAATTTCTATGACTAACTATTATTTTTTCTTTTATTTAATTACCAAATTCGTTCATAGCTTATATTTATCTATGTTTTATTATTATTTACAATCTGAAATAGTTAATCTTTTAGAAAACAAAACAAATTAAAGGTACTATAGAAGAAGAAATTTGACATTTAATGTTAAACTAATTAAATAAAGATAGCTCCTGCCTTATATTTAAGGCTAATTCATTTTGTATTGATGTAATGTGAACTCTTTCAGCCGTTGTCTAGAAGATTGTTGAAATGTGTAAAATCAATGATATAGAGGTAGAAATAATGTGTTCACTGATTTTCAAATAGAATATTACTTTAATGGTTCTTAACTTTCATAGCATTATATTTCAAAAGGAGGGATACACATGGTGGAAACATTAAGAATGAGGCATACTGGAAGTTTAACTGAGAAATTATTATAATTTCCTTTTGGGTTATCTAACATTATATTCAACTTTGGTTTGTCTTATTATCTTTAGAACAAACGTTCGTTTAGGTTTGTGGCATTTTGTTGAGTTGGTTTGGTGTTTACTAGTTGATATTAAAGCGTGAGGTGTGATGGATGCGGTGGCCCTACAGGTGTGTTGAGGCACAATGCACTCCCAAACGAAGCTTTGTTATGTTCTTCTTCTATTCAACCTTACCTAGGAGTTTTAGTTTTTATTTAGGGGTTCGTTTTGTGCTTATTATTTCCTCTCTTTATGCCTCCTTATCTCCCGGCTTTGGTGACTGACAGATATTGAAAATGGAATAGAAAAATATAAACATATTATTGTGTTAATGTGTCCATCAATATCATTCATTTTCAATTTCAATAATTAGTTATACTATGAAATTCAATATATATAAGGTTTGTGTTCCGTCTATAAAGAGAATTATATAAAAAGATGGTTAGTAGACCTAAAGATCTAGAAAAATAATTAGGTAAACTATGGTCTGATTTTTTTTGTAGAAAAGTTGGAAATTTAAGTTTTGTGTTTTTTAAAATAATGTTTAAAATGTTGTGTTAACTAAAATAATATAATTTATTTTTACTACTAACAATTACTTCATAGTAAAATTTCTTTTAAATCTAAGTAAAGTTTCTCTTTGTCAAAACCTTGTAAAATGGACTTAAGCGGCTGAACTATATGTAAGTTCTATTTTTCACCAAATCATGAATTATTTGCGATGTTTTGTTTTCATTTTTTCCAATGGAATTACAGACACCCCACTTTTAGAAAAACTTGCTTGTAAGTTTTAAATCCATATCAATTAACTTGAAATTTATTACAGAATAAGATGTGGAAAAGTAATATGTCATTTGATATTTTCTCACATCAAGGTACTTGTATTTTCAGCAAAAATAACAACAATAAATTATTATAACTTGTACTTTATATTTTTCTCTGACCTGAAATATATTTTTATAAATTAATTGTAAATTGAAACAAAACACAGAATAATAATAAAAACAAATATTATTGTTTTCATTTTACTACTGGTTTTTTTTAATACTATCATTTATTCTCGTTGATATCATATTTGCTGAATACTGAGGTAGATGGCAAATTTATTGTGAGCTAGGAGTATGTTTAACTAATAAATAAATAAATAAATTATAAAAATATGCTTTTATTTATTTGAAGAAAAAAAAACAGTACATTTAATGGGGATTGAACTTTATTTTGTGTTCTTTTCTTAATATAATCGACCGAATAATAATAATAATAATAGTAATAAAAATAAAAGGATATAGAATAGTGTTTCGAACTGTAAATTCAATTCTATTACAGAAAAATAAACCTATATTTCTCGCTAGTGAGATGGATTATCCTCAGACTCCATGTCGAACTGTTTCTAGACATAGCTAACTCCAGCTCGACTCCAGTAGTCACGAGCTGGCGCGGGGATACTTCGCTTCCAGTCAATCTTCACGTCCTAATAGCGTCATTAAAATTTTATCGTCGCCATTAAATTTATACATACTTTATTGCTTTTGCCTGGGACGTGCAAATGTACAAAACGGCCCTTTATAATATGTAATTTACTTAATCGCTGGAGCGATGGCATCTCGAATTTTTTGTTTTCTTTTCATTTTTTTCTTTTATTTTTTTTACTCTGAAGGTTGGAGATTATAATACTAATATATGTAAACAACACCGCATATAGACAAGGACCCATCTACCCGTGAAAATATTTATCGTTGCGTTAAATGGACAATTTATGCCGTTATTTACGAGGCCGTGGGGTTTACATTATCGAGGAGGCCGAGACAATGGGTTGGCAGCCCTGCTCTAATGGCGGCTAATTGCGGTTCGCCTCAACTCGCCTGTGTCCGATCCTGTAATTATTGTATTAATTAGATTAGTGTCGCTCAATTGTTTTCTTTATTATTTAATTATATGTTCATTGTGTTTTTCGTCAATTATTTTACTTGTAAACACAACTGCCTAGTCTCGTCACCTGTTGTTCCGTTAATGAAGCGGCCTAGTCCTTTGAGATAATCGTACCGATTAATATCTAATGATACTCGGTGTAATTTTAATATCGTTAGTTAGGCTAGCTAATTTCTGTTTGCATAGTGGGTTCATTTATAATTATAACCATTCAGTTGTTTCTAACGAATTTCACAAGTTCCTTCTACGGTCGTATCCGGAGGGAAGGTAAGTTGTGACAAATATACCTCCTCCCCTCCTCCTTTGTCAGTATTAAAATAAAGTAGTAATAAATATAAAAAATAATTGCTGAATAATTTATTTTATTATGTTTTTATTTCATAATTCCGAAAGAAAATAAATAATTGCAGATTAATTCCTCCACTCTTGGATTACCTACTCCTCTCTCTTTGATTTCATTCTTGCTCCTCGGTGTTGACCTTTGAATAGTTAAAAAATAAAAATAAATAGGAAAACTACCGAACGGATTTCAATGAAACCATGTTAACTATACTAATTAATGACATGTTTATTTATTTAAATTATATATGTCGATTTAAAGGAATTAGTTAATTAAAAACTCTGCTCTTAGCACATCACAATTCCATCAGGCCCTTCCTAAACTCATCAATGGGTTCATAAATAAAATTCAGCGCGTTCTTTCATTCATCAATTGAAAAACCGACAGCTTAGCAGTTCCATCGGATTTTACAGTCTATGGATCCGCTGGAAGTAACCTCATTTAAATCTCAGTGTTGCTATTATCCAATTTACTTTTCATATTTATATTCAGTTTATTTTCTATATCTATATTTATTTTTGTTTTAAAACAAAAAAAATCCTACAGGTAAATATTACCTTATGCAGTTTTTATTGTTTATCTGTTTTGTGACTTTCCAAGCGTAGTAAATTTCGTTGAATTATACTAAACTAATCATAAATCGCGATTTATCGGCGCTGGATTCAATCGATGGATGGATTCTTTTGATGAAATTAGTGCTCGGTTTAGGAATTCGAGTGAGACTATTATAAGTCCCTATTATTATTATTATTATTATAACACTATTATTAGTCAGCAATTATATATTGATTTACGTTTTAGTTCTTTTATCAGAATTGGTCAGACAACTGACAGTTGCAAAATAAACAGTCAATAAATTTAATTCACTCATGTGTCTGTTTTGTTTGACCGTCCTCCAGACCTCTTCTTGTATTATTAAATTATATATATTTAAAAAAATAATACAGTATTAAAATTATACTTTTATATATATATCTTTTTATTATAATATGAATTCAAAGTTACGTCACATAAGCGAATTATTTTTATTATATTTAATTTAAAATATGTTTTATCCCTACACGTTCCAGGTTTTATTCTTTTTTTTTTTTTTAAATCGTAAAAATTGTGAAAATCCCTCTTACTAAACAGGTTTTTCCTGTTTCTAATCAAGTTACAAAATATTTTACAGCGCGGTTTCCAACTGAAGGCGATAATGCGGCCCGCGAGGTTAAAGAGTCAGATGGATGAGGCTGGATGCCAGCCCTATCAAACCATGATGTTTTACATAGATAAACTTGTTCGCATTCTTTCTTCATTCGAGAAGGGTGCACTGCGAGAGGCATTAAAGTTCTGCGGTAATGGCTGTTGTAAAACAAATATTCCAGATGTGTTGGTATTTTTTTTTTTACATTGTTTTCCTATCTATCATCCTCGGTATATTTAGAATCGTTTTCCAAGATTATGTCTTTGTCCCCCACTAATTAGAAATTATTGATTTTTAATTTTATTTTCTCCTACAACAGATAAATATTGGTCAAGTGTTCTCAACGAGCGATTGCATAGTTCTAATGTTTAGGATAAACAAAAAAGGATGGCTGAAGTGGCTTGTTTAAAGTAAGAGAACTATACATAAACTATACATTTTTAAAAAATATGTGGGACATCCCGAGGGAAATTTGAAGCTGCCATACAGAGAAAAGTGCTATACTTCTCTGCTCATGTCAGGATCATACTCTCTTCTTCATCCTCGACTCGCCAAGAAAAAAGTAGAATCACCTACCTCCTGTGGGTTTAATTTAAGTGTATTGCAAGTACTCTTGGAGTGTATTGCTCATCAGTCACCAAGATATTTTAAGGATATTATAGATGGCATGTTAACAGATGATTCCAACACAATACTATGTATCTTTTTTAAAACTACAAACATCGATAATAAAACATAAAAATCTACTTGAAATTATAGTCAATGGGTTCTAGTGGACAGAACATCTTCATAAAGAATTATCTTAATTTCCATTGCATTTATAATTATTTAATTAAATTAATTGTTTCAATATTTCTAGCATAATTGTCTTGTTGTTGTGTTATTAAATTATTTTTATTGTTTAATAAACCATAATGAATTATTTATTCCTCAAATCTTCACTGGAGTCGGGATACTCTCCTGGGGCGCATAAAGTGGGTACCATTAATTAAATAATATAAATATGTCGGGAAAACCTGGCGGTTGAGCGTAATCTCGGTCAAATCATCTCATTGCACAAGAAGCAGTACTTTCCCTAAATAGTGCTGAACCCAAGACCGTTCATGGGTTGTCGTGAAACAGTTTATTTTATTAATGTAACTTATGAAGTCCTAGGAACTCCTCTTAAAATGTTCTTTTGCTGTCTTGATAATGATAATCATTCATTTATTTTGAAGTTATTTTATTCTTATTTATTGTATATAGAGTGTGAATGTGATCTCAGAATACTATTATAAATATCCTTGAGACAGATTGTAATATTTTTCAATAAATAAATAATTTCTAAATTATGATAATTATTTATCTAAATAATTAATTCAATAACGAAAAATAAATACAATACTTATTGACTGTGTACGATTTTTATTAAATGAATTATTTCAATTCAAGGGAATAGTTAAGGTGACAAAATTATTCTTTTGCAAAGTAAAAATTGTTTTGTACAAGTAATCTTTTTTTAATCTTTATAATTATTTATATTGAAATTAATATGAATAATGCTTATTTTTGTTTTTACAATTAGTTGATTACCTGTCATAATAATCAATTTAATTATTTCATATCAGAGATTAAGAGATAAAATTAGGCCTCCCATCCATCTTTTTTTCTTTCTTTTTCGGATATTGTTAGTTATGTTGTAAGTTTTGGCTATTGATTTGACTATTAGCGTATCAAAATATTAATAATCCAGATTCTATACAATTTTTCATTTTTCGTAAATTTTGATTTAATCAAGTATATAAATTTTCGATATTTTTTGACTTGATTATGATAATTCTCTTAAAAGTTAATACACGTTAAGAAAGAAATGTTAAAGAATTCAACTTCCAAAAAGCAGTCTCACAAGTTAAGAAGGATTGCTAACCGTTAGCATTATTTTGTTTATTTTTTTTTTAGCTGTTATTTTATCAAGCTGCTAACCTTGACCGCTGATTTAGCAGATAAGTATGGGCTGTTATTTTGTACATCGTCATATATATTCTGACTTAGCTTACCTAAATTTTTTACCATAATATGTGAGATGCCTAACTTGATTAGGCTTGATGGTTTGTTGTTGAAATATGCAATAAATTATTCTGTCATCTTTCACGAAATTAGTAATTTTTATTTTACTTCTTGTAAAGTTATCAGAATTAAATTAAGTAATATAAGAATTTTATGATGATATAATTTTTAACTGATATTTATTTATAGCCCCATCAGATCAAATTGAATTACAAGCATGAAGTATTATTACCACTGTAATAATCAGGTATAAATTCACGAGAAGCCGCTACTTTTTTATCTGAAGATCTTTAGCTCTGACTTTATTTTTTTGATAATTATACACCATCCGATAATATTACTGTTTTACTCATTAACATTTAGAGTCCTTGCATCACACCTGTCCGAAGCAGACGCCCTGACAGGGCAAAGTGGTTTTTGGAAGTCAGGGCGCAAATTAGGTAAGAAATTACCAGCAGATGGAAAGTTAAGGCAAAGCAGCAAGTCTCGACAATTTACGATAGCAGGCCGCTTTACGACCTGTCTAATCCTATCCCGCTGATGAGTGTTCCGAAAAACAGAGGGCGTTAGTGAATCTCACGGGCCCATAAAACATTTCTCCTTTTATAATTAACAGGGGTCCTAGTTGGGAGCGCTTTGTCAAGAGCCTTTGCCAAGAATTTTAACAACGGTTACAATGACAATTTTTAGAATCCGGTCCCCCGCTTCGGACAGATTTAGAACTCGGGAGTTCACGACCCTAGGTTCCTAGTTGATGGCGATTTGTAAGGCTATGGCACTTCCGTTTAGAGGAAAAATGTTTAATAGCATTTATTTCTATGAACCAAAATAATTTTTTAATTGATTTTATATTAATAGATTAATTGTTTTTTTTTGCTTATTAAAAATATAATATACATTTTGGAATTCCATCCCACTTAAAATCCACCATGCACCATCCTTATCCACATTTAAAACCCTCTTATTCCAATTCCTCCTTACAACTCAATCAGACGCCGGGTAGCCATTTATAATGTATATTATATGTGTATATAATCTCGTCTATATGTATATTATCTTTTCTTTTCTCCAATCAATCAACATCATAGGATTTAGATTATATAGAACTTGTATAATGTTTACAATACTATTATTGTATCCTTCGAACATACTAAGATACATATGTAAATCATTTAAAGTAAATATTTATCCACTCTTTTATTATTTTTTTTTTCATTAATACAATGGCATGACAACAAAAGTTTTATTTTTTTTTTTTCATTAATACAATGGCATGACAACAAAAGTTATTTGTCGCTCATTTATAATTCCATAGCTTATTGTTTATAGCAACTATTTTGCAGTATTAGGATCTTATTGCTCATATTATGTCTTTACTATATATCTAGTGCAGTTATGTAAATACTTCTTTTATCCCTTATTTTTAAATGTTTTTTTTGTTTTTTTTATTGTAATATGCATTTTGCCAGATGTAATGTTAATTTTATGTACAATATTATTATTCAAGGGACTTTGTCCCAGAATAAAGTCGATTCTTCTATTCTATTCTATTCTAATATAAACGCCTTTATTACAACACTTTAAGTTCATAACTCGTTGCACATAAGCCTCCTTCTCGAAGACTTCTTCTTGCTGTTGCCTAGTGTATACCTTTTATCCATCCAGTTCGTTTACGAAATGACGAAGAAGATGCTTAGTCTATGATGAGAGAGCCGTTGGAAGCCTATACGGAAGGAGGTCTGGAAATCAGTAAAACAAAAGCGAGTATATGGCATTCATCAAAAAAACATAAAATACTGAAATAAAATCATTAGACGTTTTTTAATATGGTATATTGTTTTCTTATTTCATTAAAATCTGAGCAATTTTTTTTTCTATATTCCTAAACTCAGCGCTAATTCCATCGATGGATTGGGTTATCGATTAAATCCAGCGGCATTGGGTAGTTATATATACTGAGTTGAGGAGCAACCTGATGGATTCCAGTGGCAGATTAATATTCGTAGAAGGCTACAAAACCTATGAAAAATAAATAAAAATGTTTAAGTGTCTTATTTAAAGTGAGAGAACTATAAAAAAACTCCTAATTTTGAAAAAAAAAAATATGTGGAACGTCCCTAGAGAAATTTGAAGCTGTCATAGAGAGAAAAACTGCTTCTTCTTGCTCGTCTAATATCGATCTAGCGAATCTATGAATTTAAAAAAATAAATAAATATATATGAAAAGTAAGCTACATATGTAAATTAAAAGGAGAAATAACGACACTGGTCCATCGACTACAAAAGCCGGCGGATTTGCTGAACCATCACTGATTCAATCATGAGCATGGGTATTAGGAAATATATATCCATCATCTTGTCTTAGGATTGTGGTATTTTAGAGTCACATTATTATTTTATACTGTACAATATTTATTGCTCGCAAATAATATCAATATGATATTTTATGATATCAATCATTAAATCAATAAAAATTTTAAATGGTATTATCTACTTATTTTATATAATATACAGTATTTATATTTTGATTAGATGTTTAACACTGCCCAACCTTATATATAGCTCCCTATAATTCTGGAATATCTCCCCGACCGAGAATACTGTTGGAGTAATCCATTTAAAAACCCAGCGGCTGTGGCAATCAGGGCTGAAGTCGCGGTGTCTCTCTGCTTGTTTATTTTAGAATTTCCAGTCCAATATCTGTTTTTTTTTTCCGGCTAAAATAAAACCTCTCCAGCCTTTTATTTTATTTTTATTTTCATAAGCTTATTGGAAATATTCAATTGAACAGACAATAAATTTATCGAATCTGTAGAAGCATTTTACACTAGTACGGTAAATTTTAAAAATTAAATGATTTTAATTTTTTTTTCTTCTCCTATAAAATTGTATGATTTACAGTCACGCCATTGTTCCTCTGAGCTATATGTAGACTAACAAACATGGAAATTTTTCAAAAAAATAAAATAATTTTTTAGTTTTTTTTTTTAGTTGTGCCTGTCTTCTTCACAACTACTACTGCCGATTATTACTGCACTTTTTTGACAAATGCTCTTTACTTCCAATATTCTACAAAAAAATATATATATGAACCATAAACACTAATACCATTAGACCACTAAGTCATCTGGAATTGAATTTTGGGATTCCACTAAATCATCGAATTCTTCCTTTATTGAATCCTTAAAATCTAAATTAATCCGTTGAATCCTTAAAGGTTCTAATTATGTCCCAAATAAAATTGTCCATCAAAACCTCAAAGTTCTCTTTGTTGCAGATTTGGCCCGAATTAAATATTTCTAATATTTCTCTTTTAATTTCTGACTCGTTGGTCACCCTAACTCTCTAGTTCATAACAATTCCTGACAACAATTTGGAGACGTCTGAAAAGAAAATGGCTAAGAGATCTCTTAAATTAATCTAATCATTGAAGTGTTCCCAATTCCTTCACAAGATTATACAGTTGTAAATTCCAATAATTAAAGGAAATTACTGTTTTATATATATTTTTTTAGTTATATTATATTCTTACTTATAGTTCGTCAGCAGTCTTTAATCGCTGACGGAACAGCATGCACTCCAGCGAAGACCCATACAAGCAGTCTCGCTTCGCATGTTAGCTTTTGAAAACATGAGAGCTCTTCTAGACCATCCGGCGGTGTTGTTGAAGGTGAACGGTAGTGGCAAATAGAAGACTACGTACAGGCTTTGCTCCCTCAGACAATGAGGGGCAGAAATACTTGGTAATAGTGGGCGTGAAGTCTCCCCGCGCTCAAAGCTTTTATTACCCGAGTCGCGTTAGTGTCGTTTCGCTCGTTACCTTGTTGCCTTGCGGGCCGTGTCTGTCTTCGCCTAGGAGGAGCAGTTTAAACTGCGTTTAAAGCTGTCCTTGGTTTTGTAAAGCGATAATAGTAGATTATGGTAAGAAACTGTGAAAATAGTCCGGGAACCTGCGGGAAGTAGGTATAATAATACGACAGTCAGACATATTCGCAGAAAGATTTTTTTATTTAATCTTAAACGAGTAATCGGAAAATACAGTTGCAAAAAAAAAAAAAGTCCAATGTGAACCTCTTAACGACTTTCAATTTTTGAAACGATTAAGGTAACACTACCAGTTGTCGGCACCCCACCTGTAGATTTCGGCACCTATTTGCAGTTATTTAAGAATATTATGATCGTAGCTGGCGAAAGGTACTAATTTAAAGCTTTAATCTCCGCTACGCTTGCATATTCATATGCTATCATCTCCCGCTATTAATTTAGTTTTATAGATCGAAAAAATCGCTGAAGATTCGAAACACGTCAAGTATCCTACCTAGGCGATCTTACGTCCCTGAACAATATCATTGTAGTTAGTTCATTTTAAAGCCTGTAAGATTTAATTCTTTAGGATTGAAGATAAGAGCTACCGAAAACTGGGCATACAAATATTTTTTCATTATTCTGTTTTACTATAAAAAAAAAAATGAATGAAAGACACTGTTTGAGATATATATTTTGAAATTAGAGATTATATAATATATATTTGAAACTTGCTTCAATCTGGTTCTGATTTCGGAACCAAACTTGTGAGACAAAATACACCTGCGTGATCGAAAAGGCACAAACACATTTTAAAGTTTCCTTTAGGGTGCCTAAAATTGTAGATTTTGCCCTAAATTCTTTTCTTTCGAATTATATAATCCTTCTTCTACTCATAAACTGAATCAAACTACACCAAGAACGATGTATTGAATCATTCTCAACCTTACAAGAATCCTACAATGGATTTTTTCTGAAGTAAGAACCTTGTTTTGTAGTTGAGGAACGAATGAATAACCTGAAAGAATTACAACTCCTCCATGGATTATCAAATCTTGAATATTTTCAGTATTTTTAAATTTGCTTCTTTTTATTTCAATCTGTATCAAGCTTTTAATTTATCATTTGCAGAAAGTTGTTATTTTTTTGACAAATCGTAAAACAAATATTTGAAATAATCGGACAATCACAAGTTGTCCTTGTGAACCTGTGTTCCAGAGAAATATTTTTTCATAAAATTTTATTTACACTACTTATATTATAAAAATTAAGAAATATATATTTATAAAAAAAGTAAAAATAAGAAATACAGTTTAATTTTCAAACTACACTGGCTCTTATATGGCATGCTGGTTTTAATTTATTCCCAAAAACTAACAGCAGATCGGCCAAAAAGAAACCAAAAAGCAACAAACCAAGTCAATTGCCCTGTTCACTCGTCACACTATCGTCTTCGTAGTGTAAAGTAGAAAGTTTATACTTTTCCAGGACATTTTTATAATTTTCTGTATCGGATTGGTCAAATGATTTTGCATTTGTTAGTACTGTAAATACGTATTATATTCTTAAACTGGATTACAAATGTTGTGGAATAGTTACGTTTTTTGCCATAAAGTGTTAGAAGATATATTCACATAAGATTCTGATCGTAGGTCGGGTTTTTATTATATCGTTAGTTTTATTCCTGTTTATTTATGCATATATATATATATACATAAAGGGTATATATTACCATTTTAGGAAATCCATTTTTAATATGTTTAGGGAAACTATCCAGAAATCCTTGAAATTTAAATAGATGCGAGCTTCCGAAGGACACAAGTTGATAAATTTTTACTGTATGACTCAAGATGTATATTCGAATGTGTAATAAATAATGTGGAACCAGTTTTCCTGTTTTGTTTTTTTCTTTCTTTCTTTTTTTATATATGTTTTTTTTTATGGCTGTATGCATAAGTGATTTAAGTAAAGAGTTTGTGTATTTAGATAAATAGCTTAAACGCTTACGATAGTGAAATCGTTTTGATATTTGAATTTTTTTTTTTTCTACCATAGAAATATTCCAGGATTTATGTTAACTGCTAATTCATTTTTTATTTTCTTCCCTTCTTGTGTGCTTCGTCTCTTTTTAGATGTTAGACCTCCCTCTTTTTTTAGGTTGTGTCTTGCCCTCTGACTATCTTGGCTTAGCTTTTCGTTATGTTATTTATTTCCACTTCAGTGCTATGTATATATGCTATAAGTTTTTTTTATATTTATTGATTATTTATTAATTTAAATTACTTATAGTTATGATAATTTTTTTCGTTTTAAAAATGTATTTAATTATTTTTTAAATAACGCAGATTGATAGCAAATATACCTGAATAATAATCTGACCTAAACGAAAACGAACTATAATCTTACTGATATGCTGCATCAAAGACCCATATAGGAAAAATAAATCAAAACAAAATATCAATACTGATAAACAAAGTAACGAAGTAAGTAATGATAAAAAAAATACAAGACAAAACATCCCTACTTATGTTACTTTGTTTTTCAATAAGTATAAGGTCGCAAAGAACAAAGTTCTGGTACGACCACTTTCATGAGAGGAATTTTTAATATACAGATCAATTATATTCTTAAGATTCTAGTATTATGATAATTTAACACTAATATTTTTTTATTGAAATTTGCAACCATAAAAACTATATTATTCCCAAAAATACCATAGTCAAGAAATTCGTTGATTGGCTTTTTACTAAGCCAATGTTGAAAAAATGATGAAATTTATTTTTAATACTGTAGTTAATACAGTTGTAAATTTCAATAAAAAATATTGTCATTGTTAAATTATAAATATATATATATATATATATATATATATATATATATATATATATATATATATATTTATAAATGGTTATCAACTTATAATTTACTTTAACATTATTAGCTTTTAGACTTTAGAATCTTTCAAAAATAATGAAAGTTTAAAATCTTCATAATATTCAATTAGTTAATTAAGTTTATTTAATATTTAATCAGATTACAAATTTCTTGAAGAAATGTCGTATTCCTTACAAGTTTTAAATATGCGCGGCGTTGACAAGCAGCTGCAGTATTTTTTTGTTTTATTCAAAATTCTTCGCCCTCCTCCCTCCATCGGGAAATTAATTAAATCGTCACTAATGGACGTTCAAGGTTTGTTCATAACTGTCAGCCATTTGGATCTTGGGTCTTCCTAAGTGGCTAATTTAGCTACCGGATGAATTGGTTAAGATAAAGTCATGTTCAGGTGCCCGTAATTTTGCTAAGAATTCTTAAAGACCATTTCTCATTATCTATACCGTCATTTTCTCATAGATCATTTTAACATTTATTGTTTATCTTAAATTACAAAAAATATTTATTACTTCGGCTAATGAAACCCTTTCGTATTGCTAATAATAAATGCCATTTTAAATATTTATTTAATTTAAAGCAAAAATTAGAAAGTTATAAAAAAAAAAAAATCTGACGGTTTTTAGAATATTTACTTGATTGAAAAAATGCTGAAAATATCAAATTAATTTTTTAACACTCTCTTGCTCTAAAATCATCCATTTGCAATTACAAGGATATTTTATACCATTTTACTGTATTTAAAAAATATCGTGTAAATAAATTGTTTAATGTTTATGTCATTTCACATTCTGTGGGTTTATTGCAAAGCCATTAAGTAACATTTTTATGAATTTGAGATAATTCAATTTGAAGTTTCTGATTAATTAAAACATAAGTCTGCCAAGTAAAGTCCTTATACCTTCCTCGCCATTTCCATTGGCTAAATGATATCTATAATTTAAGGTCTATACTTTTTCGAATGAGAATAAAATATCCAGAAGAAACCTTTTATGGAACACAATATTCCCTAATTATTCGCGGATTTGATATCCAGAGGTTTTGTTCATAAATGAATACTAAAATGGGGCAGAGTTCCATATTTGCAGATTGAGTATTCGATGATTCGTGATTAAAAATAAATAAAATTATTAGTATAATTTCATATTTTATTGCCTTTTTTTTTTCTATAGTAGCAGACTACTTATATCAGTTGCAGATTACAAATCGAATAAAAATTGAAAATTTTTACTTAAAACCTTTTGCAGTAATAGTAGCGATGTATATATACATATATATTATTATATTTACTTTTATCTACCTATTTATTATGTTATGTTGTATTAATTTATAATTTTTATTTCAGGAAAATCTGATCCGACCCCGCACAGTTCTGCTTTCAACATGGGATATTTAGTTTCCCCTTATCCCTATCACAATGGGACAACCCCTTCCATCCCTGTTTCAATGGTGAGTGTTAATTTTATAAACAATTTAATATCATTTATCAATAATTATATCAATTGTTCATTATTATTATTATTATTATCATCAGATCTCTTGTAAATCCGTCTTAGGCCTGAGACACAAGAAATCCATTCACTCAGTCTACATCACTCAGATGATATGAATTCTTCGAGTTTCTTTTACCAACCACATATCGAAAAAAAATCTAACAGAAAAAAATTACGCGCATTCCTTTGGAATGTGTTTAAAGAATTCTTTGTCCGTTATTTACTACAGATAATTTTCTTTTTTATAAACGAGCTGTACGTTGTACCTACCGTAGAGTAAATAGAAAATACTAAGATTCCAGCAATTTCTATGCTTATTTAAACGTTATATTAAAATATTATTTTCATAATTATCTGTTTATGTTATCTTTAATTACCTATTAGGGAATGTTATTATTATTATTCATTTAGAAATATTTTAATTACTAGTTTAATTTATGTTTTGGTTTTACTCCCCGGATTAGCTTGTTAAATTCGAAGCAGATTTTTGAGAATTACGAATTCACAAAATACTATTCATTTTATAGGAATAATTATTTATTGAGCAATTATACGTACTGATATATTTAATATACGTAATTATTAGTCCTAAATAGTCAGGACACAGTCAGTTTAAGATTTTTATTGTTACCGAAATTTCAACTCATGCTTGTGGGTCATCATTATTCCATGTTATGATGCAGTACTGTAGCAATACTCAGTACTTGAACACCTTCAGTACTGGTAAAATACTCTGATGATGATGACCCCCATACTTAGATTGAAACATCGATAATGACTACGTTTTATATTATAAATATGCGTCTTATCACCTATAAATAATAAGTAACTATACTTAACTCGATTTCCAAAAAAATCGATTCGGGTTCACTTTGAAGGGAAATGACTCAATTCTTTTAACAAATAAAACTTTCAGTCATCCGTGAATCTGATGGATTGTCTAAGTTAAACTTTACTTGACTTCTAAATTTGACTTACTTGGACTTAGCAATTATACAAATAAATTCATACAATGTAAGTCCCCTTAGAGTATCCGGTTGCAGTTGGGAGTACTTAGTGGGACCAATACGACGGGTCTTTGAGGTTGTGTGCTTTGGTCTGTAAGATGGGATCCCATGCTTCCCTGAACCCCTGTCTCTTCCAACCTCAGGTTTGTGTGAGCTTGCTATTAGTTTCGGGTGGTTTCTTATTTATCTTAATGTTTATTTGGAGATGAATGTCAACCATAATTTGTATGAACCTTGATTTATAAATACTTAACACAATACAAAGTAAAATACATCGCTGAATGAATAACTTTGATGACAGAAAGCAACTCATAATAAAATATAATTATAATATCATAAATTTATTAGAAAGCAGGGTATCTCAGTGGGTAAGTACGGACTTCCAAAGCTCAAAATCTCCGGGTTCGAATCTAGCTGATACCAATTAATTTATCATCAGCCGTTGATCGACCATGGGTTCGGGAGACCCTCCCAGGGGGTGCGTAGCATCTTAACCCTTTGGATAACTTTACGTACCAAAAGTAATATATTATATTAATTTTAAGTTGTTTTAACTAAAAAAATAAAACAAAAATTTTAATTGGCAAATATTACGCAAAACAACTAAGTTTTCTTATTTCATTTTTCTACTCATACTGCCATAACTACCGCTAACCTGATAGCATCGGGAAGTAGAATATTGCTAGGCTTGATTATTATCATATTTAATTTAACATTAAATTTTGTAAGGAAAATTACAAATTAAAACGAAGTTAAAAAATCTAAAATCAATCAAATTTATCAATTTCACACAACGCCAGCAGCAATAAATAATAGATAATAAACTAATATTTCTTCAAATTAAAGTGTATTTAGTATTTAACGAAATTGAGAAACCATGAGATTGTTAAAAAAATTATTGGTATTTTTCAGTTGAAGTCATTTTTATTATCTGTAAATCGTGTTTATTCTTCTTACAATCGATATTTTTTTTTTTTTAGCTTTTTACTAAAATTTACAACTTTATAAATATGGTACATTATGTGAATAAGAAAATTTATATTGAAATATAAATAAATAAAAGTAAATGTGAATAAGTAAATACAAATATCAATAAGTAAATTTTAAAAAAAAATGACGAGAAGAATAGTTGGGGTGATCAGTCAAATAAGAAGGCAAAAATAAATGATATTATTTTGACATTTGCCGACGTTTCGACCTGAAGTTCAGGCCTTCTTCAGGGCTATCTCCAAAAGGTTGATGGAGGAAAAAAAAAATTAATTTATTTTAAGTATACTATAAAAAAATGATAATAACATTTAAACAAATTACCCATTGATAGCACTTCAAAGATTGTTTTAATTATAGACATCCTTTAGCCATCGATATAATAATTTAAAAAATTGTGACATTGAACGTGTGAACATAGATATTTTTATCTGCAACTTTACGTACTACCTCGAAACGTTCTTGCGTTCCGCAGTTTGCCAAACCTTGAGCGGCTTCGGATTGCCTGAATCACGCCCTAGGTACGCATCCGTCGGTCAATCACCTTTCGACAAGAATTGTAATATGTAATAAAACATAGCATAAAGTGATAAATAATATTCCTCTAGACCTAGAAGCAGGAGCTTATTAATACGGCGATAACTCATCGGCTCCCTAACCGGCAATTATATGCAAATTGCTTGCTAAAAGGTAAGGCCATTGCTGGCTCTTGTAATTAATTTCATGCCATTGCTATTCTTGATCGTTCACCTCGTCTAACTGGATATCTCTTCTTCCTTTAACTGTAACAAATCACCCTGATTATAAATATATATATATATTTAGTATTTGATAGGAATAGTTGATTGATAAGGCATGAATAGGTTGATAAGATATAAAAGGAATTAAACCGTCAACTTATAATCTCGTATTATTTTTATCAAGTGGCGCGTGTTGGCAATAAAAGTAACTTATATTGCCATGTAATATCCTTGTTGAAATTTCGCATATTATACAGAGTTTATTTATTCTCATCTTGCAGAAATAATATATTTTATTTTTTAATATTTGTTTTTACAATATTATTTTTAAAAAATAATAATAAAAAAAATCCTGTACTGCTACAACCCATGATGTGTTTTGGGTTCAGTACTTTTTTGGGGAACACCGTTTCAAGACCATTTCATCATATAAATTGAGATTGTCATTGAAACTCTTAATTGACTTACTGTCCTTATTTTTCGGATACAGAGATTGAACTTCAGGTTATTTTTCGGTTCGGGGAATGAGAAGCTACAAATATTTCTATAGTTGGAATTAAGTTAAAATAGTTTTAATTGGAATTCAAAGCACATCCTATATCAATATAATACAATATTATGTATTAATAATATAACGGCTAGGACAGTGATGGAGTGGGCATGACGGATGAGGTATAAGATGGTGTAAATAATGTTGGGCTAAGGAGGCTGTCAGAGAGACGCGGCAACAGCGCAATACTCAGGTACCTCTCACCTCACGGCAAATATTGTTCCCGCTCTGCCTCATATATATTGCCTCTTTGCCTCTCTCTGTCTCTCTGCTCTTTTTTCTGTTACTGCTTCCGTTACTGCCCTCGCATGTCACGCTGTTTACAGAGAAGGGGTGACGCTATCCAAAGTAGGAATCTGTTAACGCAATCGGATGCTGTGTTGCAGTCTAAAACTTAACCTTAACGTGGCTGTATTCCTTGCTGCTACCGTATTTTAACGCGTCAAAAGACAAAAATAATCCATTAATTATTAAATAAGTAATCCATCATTAAACCATAACTCCCTCAGTCTCTTCCTGTATTTTCAATTTGGAAACCCAGGCAATGAATCACCAAGAATAATTTTTTTTTCTGATTATTTGTTTATTGATAAATATTACAATCCGTCTCAATAAAGGACATTTATAATAGAGTTCTGAGAGCACATTCACACATTTTTTTTTTTTTAATTTCTTTATTGAGTATTATAACAATCTGTCTCTTGGACATTGGTTATAGTGAGGTAGGATGACATTCACACTATATGTACAAAAAAAACAAAATAAATAGAACAAAATAATAATCAAAAGTGTATACCACAATTCAAAAGTATATACAATAGAACAAAATAAAATATAATAGTGAAGGAAGAAAATATAAATAATAGTAATAAAAGAATGAAAATAAATTAATAAGATAGAATTAAAATTATCTTAAAAAAAAAAATGTAATGAAAATAAACATCTTAGATGCAGGCATACCTATTTACACTATTTACAGTCGGCCATGGGAACTCCGTACCATACTTATCCCCCCACATGTGGAGGGAAAGCAAGGCTTCAAGATATCCCTGCGCTTACCAAGAATAATAATAAATTAAAAAAAAAAAAAACACCCTGGCACCCATGGAAGATAAATAATACACTTATTACATTTTTAATGTTTGATAAATCTCATCATTCAACCAATTCTGCCCCAACTGGAGATAACTTGACCCTTGTAATTAAAATAGAAATCCTTTCCGTATTTTCAAATTGGAAAAATATTTCGATTACAGTCGTGACGTTCATGTGGTCATCAATACTGATGGACTTACCCCTTTCTATTTATCTTGAAAAAGTTAGAAACTTAATGAACAAACCCCATTTCCTGTAAATAGAGAATCTAACATAATATGTGACCGTCTTTCTACACACGTTTTCAGAGACATAAGGGTGTTTTAAAAATCTACATTCAATAATGGACCGTGACGTTCATGATATTTAGTTTTCATTAAAATTGCATGTATGCCACAAAAAAGGATTATTTTTCCATCATATTTATTGCCATTTTAATTGCCATTGGAAAAAAAGAACAAAGATGATTCAAGATTTAAGTCTCTCCTCTTAAGGGCTTTGAATTTTTGAACAGTCGAAAGTTTTGGTTTTTCAGTGACCTCTACAAATCCTTACCGAATTTTACCGAAATTAAAATACTTCCATTTACTTCTTGGCTTACATCTCTTCCGTTTTTATCTGTTTTAGTTTATAATAGTTTTTGCATCCTCTGAATCTCATTAATTCAAGTTTATGATCCAAGAGATTCAGGTCAAATAAATAAACAGTTTAAGGTAAATAATTTTTTACTGGAAATT